ACTTTTTCCAGTGCTATTCAACTTCGCGGTCGACTGGCTTATGCATCATGTCATAGAGCGCTATCGTGATGTTCAAGATAGCCCTGACGGCTGGCTGTCAGAAATGAAATCGCTATCCTTGTATATGATCCTGTCACTACAGTCACTGCTAAATCGGATCGATCAATCAGCCACTACGATCGGCCTCGAAATTAACATCAGCAAGACGAAGTACTTCACACTGTCAGCGACCCAGTCTGCCCCGTTGCCCTTTTACCTGGACAGTGTATCGAGTCTGTTCCTGTATCTAAGTACACTGGATCCACTATTCTCCCCGATGGCCAGGCTACATCCAAAATCCTTCTTACAGTTGGGAAATATTGTGACGAAAGACAGAAATTAGTCTGCGAACGAAAATCCGACCATCCTAAGCGACCATACGAGACATTTTACTCGATGGTTGCGAAATATGGCCGCTGAGATTCGAAGACACTCGAACACTTGAAGTCTTAGACCATTTGTGTCTAAGGCTTACCTTGAAAACGTAGTGGGATGGGCGTATCACCAAGGAGGTTTGTAAGCGGTTTTACGGTCATCCGAAGCGCACATCCAACGGCGCAAATTCAGTGGTTCGGTCACGTCCTCCGTAGACTATACACTGATTTTTATTAGGCCGTGGTTTCGCCCTCGCCTTGCCAGGGTTGGTATCGACGCCGTGGTGGACAACTGAGAACGTGGGTCAATGCAGTTAAATCGGATGTCGATCCTCTGGGATTCCAGGTTTTGCATGGTGCTCGTCACTGGAGAAATCATTGGATCAGTATCTGCGTGGAGCTTTGCGATGACTGCCGCGCTTGGGTAGCTGCAATCCGTGACATTCATGAAATTGGCTCATTCTGTCGCAGGTGCCAACCACAGTAAAGTAAGTCGGCAATTATCGCAAGCTTTTCCAGCTGATCCGCATCACTGGTCCCAGGAAAGTAGGCGTCAATGAGACAGTCAGAGACAGCGCGGGTGCTCGGATTCACGATAAGGAGCGCAGTATTGCTCGTTGAACGGAGCACCTTCAAGATCAGTTCAGTTGGACCCCTGCTTCCAGACCTATACCTCAAGTGATGCAGCATGGGCTATGGACGGTTACTTTGGAGCAGGTATTCTCTACATTTAGTTAACTGTGGCCGCTTTTTGTACTTTTCTACTTCTCATGCCCCCACCATCGATCACCACAAATTCAGCAATACGCAAAGTCAAACCGACGTAAATCTGTGATTTCCAGTGGTAATTTGTTATGAAGGTCGAACTTTAATGCTGATATCACTGCTCTTTACCTTAGAAACCACATTTTTAACCTTCACAGCCTCAAGATAACATTGTGCGGCAAAATAAAAAAATTATCTGTAATTACCCAAAAGTCATTATCATTGTAGTTATTTATTGTCCGTTTTTAACTGTAAAGTATGTGATGAATTAAGGGGCACAGTAAGTTATCAACAATATTTTGTCGAAATTCTAATGCAAGCCATGAACCTGATACCCTTTTGCGAGCCTGCTTATGTTCGGCTACGGATTTGACAGTGAGTCGAATATCTCCTCTTGCTGTGGTGTTCAATCTATTTTTACATTTCGTTACAGAAAGCACTGGTAAATCCACATTCAACGAAGTATGTAGATAGAAAAGCAAGGAAGTATATTTCGGCTGTTTCCCACAGTATGGCATATCTGTTAGGATCATCAGTCTTTATCGAAAAATCTTTTTCATACTGCGTGAATTTTGGCTCTTATTAGTGAGTTACTTTTAGGCTCTATGAGACTTTATGGACTGTACATCAAATATATCTAAAATTCAAATCAGGATTTGTACGTCACTCAGGTCATGAAACCCTCTTTTATTTTGTTTCGGAGTGGTTGTAAATGACTGGCATAAACAATCAAGTCTTCATCCTTCAGCTCCTCCCAGACTGTAGCGAAAATGGGGAACTGTGACAGTTCCCACTGTTCGAAATTTTGAGCATACACTTCCAGCTTTCTAAGAAAAGCGATACTGGCTTTTTTGCTTGAGATGAGATTACTCAACTTGCCATGAAGGGTCTTATTTAATAAGCGGAGATTTCAAAAACATCAGCCAGATAACACAGATCTAACTTAGCTGCTGGCCATTTTATTTCATAATCAGTTCCAGAAAATACTGTGAATATTGCGACCCAGAGTGCAAAAAAATATGGCAAAAACACTTGCCTTTGGAGAGTCACCTAACTTCGGTATGTAACAGCAGAACCTATAAATCAGTACTGTTCTTACACAACTGCTGAAAAAGACGATAATGAAGAGGGTGCGATTGGACATTATTGAATACTATCATAACCGTTGACAGTGGATCATTTAAACGTAACCAATAGGTGCTCTCCATGAGTCACACAGTGATTTGTATGAACAGACGTGACAATATCATTTAGATGGGTAATGAACCCTTTATATCATTCGACTATCGTTGTAGCACTATTTGTTGCACCTGCAACTATGTTCTGCATTTGGATGGAGCTTTCAGTCAGTAATTGATTACCTCGAATAAAGACTGGCCCTCTGCATGGGTTTTAATTCTCTTCCATTAGTTCATTATCAGTGAACATTTGAATATGTCACAAAAACGGCGTCATTATCAGTCCAAGTAGATTCATCAAAATGCAATGAAAATTGCTTGAACCGTAGTAAAGTGACCAAGGTAAACAGTCATTTTACTATAGTGCAGACAATTTTCGTTGCGTTTAGATGAAACTTCCTGACCTGATAACGACGCCGTTTTATGGCATTTGTCCGAATGTTCATTGACTGGGACATATGCCACGAACTGACTAAGGTAAATTTCGTGCTGAGTTTCTTTGTCCCACCCCATCCCACTTAGCCCCCTCTCCAACCACGACCTCACTTCTTAGCCCAATATAATTATGCAAAATAAATTTTTGCAGCATAGTAGCCGGCTGGTAGCTTACCGGAACGATGCCTATGCGTTACCAGTAGCTCAGCTGGCTTGCATTTGTTGCATTTTTGCTTTTCTTTTTATGTATTGCGGCACAGTAGCTGTGGTGTTTATCACCTCTAGCTAACGTGTATAATGATGATGATGACTAAGGTAAATTCTATGTCTTGTGACAACTCATCCATTCGCCTAAACACAATAGAATTGCTGAGCGGAATGGCTTGAGCTACTTCTTCATGTTCCTCGCCTCACTGCGGAACGAGAATCCCGGATTAAGGAAGAGCAGACAGGTTTCCGTCCAGGACCATATATTCACTTTGCAACAGGTGCTAGAGCAGCGCCACACGTACCGCAGACCGACAATAGCTATGTTCCTCGACTTCCAGAGTGTATTCGACTGTCGACCGATCCATTTCGTTCGAGATACTTGCGCGGAAAAGTGCCCACACGAAATCTGTGAACATTGTACGTGCCCCATACTGTAACTTTACAAGCAGCGTCAGTGTCGACGGTGTTATCGGATATCTTCCCGACAACAAGTAACGTTCGTCAGTGTTGCCCAATTTTCGCATTTTTGTTCAATTTCGTCGTGGACTTCATCATGGAGTGTTCTCATGCGGAGCTTCACAATGCAGGTGTTTATGTGTTGTTTGATGAAAGGCTATTTGATCTGGATTATGCGAATGATATCGCCTTACTGTTTAACGATGCTGGAGAGGCGCAATCAATACTGAGTAGCATCGTAAAAGTAGTCCCGTTATTCGGTATGTGCTTCGAACCTACAAAAAGTTGAGCTGTTTCAGGCTCAGCAGCCAATCGATGATTTCTTGAGCCTTAATAGCGAGGAACTCGAGGTATTTGATCAATTCACTTGCGTTGGCAGATGCATCAGCAACGATGGGCGCATAAGCACTGAAGTCAGTTAACGTAGTACAAAAGTTAGAGCTATCTTCTTGAATCCGCGACAACTTTGGCGATAGAAAGGAGCTTCCCTCCATCAAAAAGACCGTGTTTACAAGGCTACAGTGAGAGCCTGCCTATTTTATGGGAGTGAGATTTTGTCCCTTCGATCTGAGGACCTACGGCGCCCTCAAGTCTTTGATCATCGCTGTCTTCGGTGCATTTCTGGCGTTAGGTGGCACCAGCATGTCCGCAACAATGTGTGTAGGAGAGCACTAAATAGTGATAATCATTCTAGCTCCCTAGAACAACATATAGCACTGAATAAGTTGTGTTGGCTTGGACACGTATCACATATGCCTGGTCAACACTTGCCGAGGATGGCCTTGTTTTACCTGCTAGAGTGGCGCAAGATGCAAGCTGGACAATACTCGACTTGACAACGGGAAATGAAATCAGTGATGATTAAACTGGGTGCCGTTGGTCCGTCTCGCCTTCCAGAATGGAGTCCACGTGATCCGCTCTGTACTTGGCTTGAGACGTTGCAGGGCATGGCTCGCAGTCGACACCAATGGCGCATCTGCTGCTGTCTCCCAGTCTGACTGCCTGTTTAAAGCGTGTTTGGTGCTGAGTTATCTACGGCGTAATGGCAAATTATGACGCCGGTCAGTGAAAACACAAGGAAACTACCGCGCTGATGCCGCTTTATCGTTGCACAATAGCCAGCTGTATGTGACGGTATGTTGTTAATGCAAGGTGTAGACACCTTGACCCTGAATGTTTACTTAAGGCACCAGGTTTTTCGATAAGTTTCCCTACTCACCCATTAATTATGTTCCGTTCCGTAGGTCGTTATGGTTGTATGGTAGCGAAGCACCAGTTCAAATGGCTGATGTACCACCGTTGATGATGAGGTTGCAAAAAATCACAGGTTCTCAGCGACCACCGGTCCTACAGTGTATATTAATGAAACGGCATCAAGTAGCTCAATCAGGGTGGTTGTGGAGAGATGAGGCAAATGATGCATCGCCGCTACTGATCACACTGCGCCATAGATAATGCAGAACAAACGGAGGGGTTCGAATATATAAATGAGAGAAATAAGCAGTGCTTGGTACGGTAATTCAAAGACAAGTCATGAGCTAACCTTATCATAATCAATAATGTCCATGATTTCTTCTCTGAGATACTTGTTGAAGACGTTGCAAGTTACAGCTCCGGCTTTCCTCAACAAACTGAGCTCACTTTCGTCTTTCACGGCAAACAAATCGCTAAACGCACTAGAGACGTCCCTTAACTCAAAGTTAGCCGAAGTGAGAGACGAGTGAAATTGGTCAGTGAGGTCGGATGAGAACTTGTCTTTGGGGAAATGGCCAACCGTGCGACCCTGAAAAAGATTGCTTGACTGGATAAAACATTACCTTTCGACTAGAGGAGATAGCTTTAATGAGCTTCTCTATGCCACCTCTATCGTTATCGGACTGGAAGTGTATAAGAAGAAAGTGATACCTACTTGATTTCTGGGGATAAGGATAATCTCCCGGTTTTCATCATTTCGTTTAGTCAACGGCTGCAGAAAATCTATTTTTTTCTTTCCACAGAGGATCAAGACACTGTTCTCACAAAACACAATAACGGTGTCCTGCAATTCATAGCCAAAAAGCCAAACCTATCGAATGATCGTCAAAAAATAACATTGTACATGAAGAGAGAGTGTTTTGGCGTAAGCAGTATCAAACTTTCCTGCCGGAACGACGATTGAGTCAACATCATGCAGTAAACTGGAGCTGTTCTTAGAAAAGTAAACCTTTATAGTATGGTACAGCTTACCTTCCATTCCTTATACAACTGGACACAACGAGATGAGAATGATGGTATGTCAAGTTTCAAGGCGCACATGTCTGTATGTACAGCAAGATGGCTGAATAAGATGCTGAAATGAAAAATGGGTGAATGGAGGTAAACTCCAGGCTTGCAGAAACAATGCGATGTGAAAAATGAGCTGAATAGACGATAGACCAAGCACAGATAAGTTCAGCTATTTAGAATAGCCGATAAAGCATTAAAGGTAAATAAAAAATCTTGCACCCAGATTTTGATAAACTCAGGGTCGAAAGTAGAGGAATGAACCGGTTCGGCTACACAACCTTGATCCGGACACCTGAATGCGTTAGATTCGATTTCCATGGCTCCCATCGCCAGGCTCACAATAGTTAACAATAGCGATAAAAGTTAGGTAGAACACAAAGTACAAGGGAAAGGGATTAAACAAGTCTTGAAAGTTAACGGGGAGAAATAACAACGGTGAAGCACAATAAACAGAAAACAGGGGTACAAGTGAAACCAACAGTGGACCATGTACGAAACGGTCTCTTACCACTGAAGTGGTCCATCCCGAGGCTATTTGCCAAGAAAATGAAAAGTACCAGCCTTGCAAACATTTCAGTGAATTTCTTAATACCATGTCATCGACTGGCTATCTCATGGTCACGTCAATTAGATGCCGTAACAGCGTATAATGCGCGGGCATAGAGAGAACATAACCAAGCCAATGTCAGTGGTTAAGATCCAGTAAACACTCGAGTGAGGCACCAGAAGGCCTCTTGCCAAACACCAACTGGTTGACCTCAGCATTGCTCACCCGATGTTCCAACCAGAAGCGAATAGTACTTCGTAAACACCGGTGATCTCCTGGTGTATTTTGCGAATTGGCTAGGTCTTTAATCCATAGAGTAACACGGGCATTAGTGCAGCGTTAGGAACCCTACCATTCATAAACAGCTTGATATCCAGCTCTCCCCATAGGTGACCGAGCCTCTAAAAAACCATAGGACTCTACCGATAGGCGAAGTGACAGTAGTGACGTGGCCATTAAGGTGACACACCAACCACCGTAAGTGAACCAAACGATCACGCATGGTGGTTCTTCCGTGATAACAAAAAACGGAGGCATGTAATACTGGTAAGACAAAAACAGTGAAGGTGTGGAGCACGTGAAGAGAGGTGCAGCGCTACATGCCAGCCTATTCAGTAGTGTATGCACAGCCACTGAGCTAGGTTGTCCACACAATCAGGATTTGGTAGTTGTAAACCTGGCAGAACATCCGCTCGGGAAGAACCTGAGAGGACAAAGTGATTTATGTTTAATTCAACCAAAAATTCAATAAGGAATGGAGACAGGACAAATATCGCGAAACCAACTCATCATGGGAACCAAGGACACTGTTTCCCGTAGATGTTTACCCGCACTCGGCAGTAGCGTGAGAGACTAAAGCGAAAAAGATATATCTTGATAGGTCTTTCACTCATAGGCGTTCATCATCATCAAGATACGTTAGCTGATGGTGAGAAACACACCACAAGTAATGTGACGTAGTACAAAAAGATAAGATGCTAAAAATTACACTACAAAAAAGCAAAAGCAAGATAACTGTAAATATTATATTATGCATTTCGTATGAGATCGCAAATGGAATAGGAATCTAAAGGGTAGGGGTGGACAAAGAAACCCAACACACGAACGCCATATCAGCAAGTGTCCAAACAAACGAGTTCATGGTCCATAGGACCCAAGCTAGGCAGTTAGAATGCACTAACTGGAGCCAGGTTCGAAGTGAGAGTTTTCATTTCTCTCAAGCAAGTCAGCGCTTGGTTTCCCATCTTTCACTTCCAATCGCACCCGCAGAGCGCAAGCAATGCACGACACGGAAGTCGGTGTGCTGGCACGCACAACACCTCATAGGCGGTACCACAACCTGGCACGATCATCGGTCCAAGGTCATCACCATAATAGACTTTAACTACAGGTAGAAAACACCACAGCTACTTAACAGCAATACATGGTTAACAAATCCGGTTTCGGTTTTGCTTGTCATTGTGGCCAGCCACAGGACGCCTGTGCTTACAAAGGGACCATGGGTGGCTTGCGCTGCACCACCCACAGACTTCATATTCGGTGTAAACCCAAAGGAATAAGACCGGGAGGAATGTGGATGGCAGCCGCGTTTCGTCAACGGAGCCGGCCCACACTCCTTCACAGGCAAACACAAGCACGCTGTATTTGGGAATCAAGTGCACACAAGGCGGTGGCTGGACCGTAGTCCGCTCCACACTGAGTGCATGGAACCACTCTTCGAGCCTAGCACAGCCACAAGGACCGTGCACCCGGTCCCCTCCAGCAACGACCAACTGTCTACTGGAGCCAGTACAGAAGAGGTAGTGGGTAATAGACAGGTAGGTGGAAATGAAATGTCGAATAAAATAGATCGAATACACAGTACGGATATGCCGCTAAGTTAGCATATGAAATAAATGGATTATCACAGCAGCCGTACCAGATTCAGGATGGCAGGAAAAGAGATCAAGACTTATATGTAAACCGGAGATAAAAACAGCGAAGTTAACCAACTTTGCTTTAAGCGAAATGTGCAATTTATTAGATTATTTAAGTACACATTAAAATGAGGTACGAGAACATTAAGACAAGACAACCGAGGACTTTAAATAAAGAGACGAATCACACAAGAACGCGGTTATGAAATCGGATGCAGTGTACCTACTAATTTCCATCTGCTATGAGTACGGTCCCAGTGATCGCAGTGACCAAGGTTCACTTCAATGTGAACCACAGTCCACTACATTGAGATTGCGCGTCGCAATCCAGTCACACAACGTGTAGTCCAAACTTGACCCTCCAAATAGTCATTTACCGTTGTGCCAAGCGTTGCCCACCGTGACCCGGTAGCCAAAGTGGTAGAGGTTTCGGCTACTATTCCAATGGTCGCGGGATCGAGGCCTGCTGTCTCCACCTGATGAGATGAAATTATATCGAAACGCGTCGTGGTTCTGCAGTGGTTTCCGGTGGGCAACACCCAATTTCCGAATGCAGTGTACCTACAAAAGCTGTGCCAGTCCTGCCTACCTTCTCTGCAGGACACGTCGCCGCTTCAGTAGTGGTCCCGAGTGGCCTAGCTTATGGCTCACTAAGCCTGCCTGACTCAAGCACTCGCGACCGCATGTGCTATAGCACCATGCACTCGACGTCCATGGAGGACAGCCAATCGGCGTCAGTCGCTTCCGCACTTGCCGCTTCTTCTCTGCATGCATGAGGGCTTTTTCTAGAACCTAGGCAACTGCCCTCGTGATCAAATCGCGTCATGCATGCGAGAAACCGCCGTCGATTCCCACGACCTGAAATCATGATAGGCTCACTTTGATCATGTCCTGGTATCGTAACTTCGGTTTTTCCACGTGCCGTTTCACAGCAGCTATTAAGGTATTCGGGTCGAATTCATACAGCGAATATGGCCGAGTCACCTTAGCAGAAGTATGCAGCCCACTGCATACATGCCATCGCGTCGGAACACCTCCGTGTCTGCAACTTGATCACTCCAGACGATGCGCATAATACGGCGCAGACACCGCTGATGGAAGCGCTCCAGATATGCTACATCTTTCCGATAAAGCGTCCAGGTTTCGCTGCCGTATAGAAAAACGGACAGCACCATAGTTATATATATCAGCAGCTTTGTCCCAATAGTGAGCTGGCGGGTGTTCCACACACGGTATTCCAGCTTGCAAAAAGTAGCAGCCACCTTCGATACGCAGCTGCGCAGCTCGCACGCCGTCTGCTGGTCAGTTGTTATTACGCAACCAAGATAGAAAATGGTATCCAACAATTCTTCGGCAATCTGAGTTTCGGACAGGCTCATGGACAGTATGCATTAAAGTAGAGCACACAATGCTCAACGATCATCCCTCATGTGACCACGTTGGACTATGCATATGAAGAGAAATTACCCAGGGAAAATCCGTGGCAAGTGAACAAGCCCGGCAATTAATGATGAGAGTGAGCATAGCTTTAGTTCCCGTTGTTCATCAGCCATACTGAATTTACCGGGGCTTATGAAAACGCAAGTACCAAGCGGATTGAAGACGGAAGCGCAGGGACGCTTACCAGAAGTTGAATTAAACATGGCCAATCCTCTGAGTAGACTAAGAAAAAGGTAATGCCAATGGCAATAGCACGTCAGTGTCTTAGTATACTACATCGGAAATGAATCGGTGCAGAGCGACATTCGTTTTAGGGGCACCGAATGGTTGCACCCGAGACGTACGATGGAGATCGCTACAAAATAGCTTATGGCCACAGCAGAGTACACAGTGGTAAGTACAAACGGTTGAGTACTTGGATGACAGCCATACCACGTCCTGAACATTTGAAAAACAGTGCGAACACTGTTTGGAAAGCCGCATGTTTGACCGTGAGCAGTGGGACTTAGCTGATGTAGAATGGCGATAGTTGTCGTTCCAATAAGGCCGTAAGCGGCGAATATGTGGTAATGCCACCTGTCAATGCTTAAGGTTGCAGCATATGATCGGACCGGCCGGCGACACAGAAAGACTGAAGTGAACACCCCATCACATGCGAACGCTGTGCGATCTCCCACATCAGCAACGCAAACCCGACTGTGCATATAGGAGGCAACACCTAAGTACGCACTATTTTACTTTACCACTTGTTTATTTATCATTCTACCTAGTAACCGTACTGATGGCAACTGCGTCCCTATTCCTATATCGATTTCGTTTAATAATGGATGCCCAAGATTTAAGGTTGTCATTTATGTTCACGTGTAAATGTTAGAGAACACTAACAGTTCGCATTGGGCACACATTCTCATGCCGGTGCAAGTGGCTGTTAGCCTGACCTCCGGACGAAACCAACATACATTGTTAGTGCTATTGTTCACGAGGTCAAGTCAAGTCAAGAAAAGCTATATGCACCCAGATGGATGCATTTTCAGCAGTTTACACTATCCACCACAAATGCGATATAAGCAACTTCAGTAAAGATGAGAAATTTACAACTTTAAAAACAGAATGGGAAAAGTGTGTACAAATGTCATTTAAATACAGTCCCGAATCTTTGAGC